ATAAGCTGGGTCCACAGTGATCAGAGATGGCCGACCTCCGGAACTGTCCTCAACCGACCCAAAACAGCAAATCTTTGTACCACAATGTCAGCAGGTGGGCTCCCCAGGGGAGAGGTGGCTCTCTCCCGCTGAGGACCGCGCCCAGAGTGGACCCAGCTGTGAGCCATGAGCAGACAACACTCCTAGCAGCTGGGGAATGACACTGGGTCCCAGAGCAGCACCAGAGTGGCACTGAGGTGCCCCGGGCAGCCCGCCCCTTGCACCAACTGGATTCGCTTTGCAGGGCAAGTTCACCCCACTTGGGAACACTCTTCAAGGCAATTCTAGATCGTGTTTTCTTCTAGGAATTCAGAGTCTGAGTCAATTTCATCAACTGTGTTGGGAGGGCGTCCTCCTTCCTGTTCTCTGAAGTGTGTCAAATGAGTTGTTTCTTAAGTATTTGTTGAGATTAATGGTGGAAGCCATCTATTTGTAATTTCTTTGAGGAAATGTTTCTAAGTTCAATTTCTTTAAGGTTATAGAGCTACTCAGACCCTGCATGTTTCCTGTCGGTTTTGGCAAGTGGCTTTTCATTTCTCCAAGACTTCTGGCATCAGTGACCTTGGGGGCGGCCTCCTGTCTTTGTCTGGCAGACTTTGATCAATTCTATTAATTTTTCGAAGAACCAACTGTTGAATTTGTTGGTCCTTTGCCACTTAATTCCCATCTTGTTTGTTACTTCTGCCCGTTGACGATCTCAGAGTTTATCTCGTCATTCTTCGTCCAGCTGCTTAGGACACGCTCGTGCTCAGGCTGCGTTTTCTTCTCCGTTGGTCGCCCCACCACATCCCTGCGGGATCCCTCAAGAACCAGAACAAAGGCGAACTGAAGACAGAAAGGCCGAGAACATCCCAGAACTGAGTGGAGACACAAAGCCCCCAGCTCAGGAAGGATGATGAGTTTGGGAGGACACCCACGGAGGGTGCACGTGCTGGCACGGAGGAGCAGAGGGTCCGGGGACCCGGCCAGGACACCCACTCGGGACGACGGAGGCCGAAGCCGATGGAAGGGCATGTGTGCACTCAGAAGACAGCTCCCAGCCCAGAATCCTGTCCCAGCCAAACACCTAGTCGAGTGTGGGCAAAACCAAGGCATTTCCCCAGAAGCCCCCCTCAAACGGGTGCTTGTCCTTCGTGTTTCCCCCCAAACAACTGTGCGGGAAAGACCACTGAAGGGTGAGCTCCAGGAGGCACAGCGGTGGCTCTGGCCGGGGGGGGGAGGTGGGGGAACGGGGGTGGGGGGACACCGGCTCGGGGAAGCCCTGTCCCTGCCCCCAGGGTCCCGTCTAGCCAGAGACTGAGGAGTGAGCCCAGGCCTCGCAGGTGCACCTTGGACCGTGGGCCAGCGCGGGGTGGGGGTGCGGGGCCTGAGGGTGCCGACGAGCCTTCCAGGGGAACCTGTGAAAACCGCCGGCTGTGACGAGGATGATCCCGTTTACCCCGAGCTACTGTGAGGAAAGGACCACTCTGCTTGGCGCGTTTCTGCGAGCTGTGGAACCAGAGGTCCCTGCAGCCTTCCGGATCTTCCGGAACTCTCATCTGCCGAGGCCCTGACATCGGCTCTTGTCCCAGGCCCCAGACTGGCCCGAGGGAGGTGCACTCGGGAGAGGGGGGGCCGTGTCCCGGCAAACGCCATCGCTTGCACCTGCACCCACACCCCCCGCTGCGCCGCAGCAGCAGCTTCCGAGCCCGACCCCCCGCAAGGACCACGGCCCCCCGGGGCTCCCCAGGGCCACCCCCTTCAGCCAGAGCCCCCACGAGGCAAAGCCACTCACACAGACGCTGGGCCTGCCGGTTCTTTCTGGGATTTTTATTTCTTTAAAATAATTCATACAAATGGTTACAGTCACAAACATGATTTTAACCAAAATATTGCTAGCCTACCACATCAGCAGGACGGCACCTGAGCAGGCCGGGACGCTGCGCCCTCACATCCCCAGGACAGATGCCGACGGCCGCCGTGCGCGGAGGGCTAGGTGCACTGTTCTCTCGCAGCCACTCTGCGGTGCCGTCTTCGTTTGGAACAAGGGGATTCATGCCAAAATTAGGAAAAACAGCCTTTGTTTTGTTTTTCTAAATTATTCTAAAAATAAGACAAGCAGGTAGAAAAAACAATGCACTGTGTGGCGTAGAAAGAAAAACGGGAAGGATTCGTTGTCCTGAGAAGTTTGCCAACTGCCTCGTTTCGGGGCGTGTTCCAACACACACGGGACACAGTCTGAGACCGACCTGCCGAATGCTCCCTCAGGGTTCTCTGTTGACAGCTAAGCAAACAAATCCTCTGAAATGTTCTAAAGACTGTACACAGACAAGAACATTCATGATAGAATTAACTACTAACTTCTTCTGCTTAACGAGGACGCAAAGGACACAGGACAGCGGCTGGCCCCGGGACAGGGCAACTACAGCTGAGGCGGGGGAGGCCGGCGCCACCTGGCCCCCGCCAGCGCCTGGACAGTCTCTGGAGCGCTGTGGCCACCCGCAGGCCGCCTCTGCACACGCCCGTCCGGGGGCGCCGCCCTGCCCGCGCCGAGGCTGTCGAGCTCCGCCCGGGCTACAACTGGTCACTCGCGTGGTCTCTATCTGCCTCGGGCTTGACGGTTTGGCCGGGAGAAGGGGCGTGGGGCGGGTGGGACACGGGGGGCAGGCCGTGGGACAGGGACATGGCGCTGGGGACAATGCCTTCGACGGCAGTCGGGATGCCGCTGGGGGCCACGCCCACCACGCCCGGCGGGTACCTGCTGGGAGGAGGGACGGCGTGTGAGGCTGGCGGGGTCCCTCCCGGGGCCACAGCGCGGGCCCAGGACGGCTGGGGGCTGCTCCCAAAGGCCCTGCCTGGCGGGACCCCGCCCTGGCCCCAACTCCTCCCTCACCCCCCTTCACCCTCAGGTCTGGCGTGTCGGGCTCTCACCCCCAGACCTTCTGGTCCACTGGGGCCCACAGGAGCGTGCACGCCCAGGCCTAGGAGCCCCCCGCCCCCGGGACCCTGCCAGCAGTCACCACGGACGTGCTCTGTGTTCCCGAGCCCACCGCTACCCGCTCACCTGTAGGCGGCCCCGTTGAGCTCAGGGTGCACGACAGCTGGGTCCATGCTGGCCCAGTGGGTGGCGGCGGTCAGGTGGTCCTTGTTGACGCAGTTTTTCAGGCTGTCGGGGATGCGGCCTGGCAGATGCAGCGAGGAGAGGAAGAGCCGTGTCACACGGCTGTGTCCAGGAGGTGGCGGGCACGGGCTGCAGGGTCCCCCACAGCTGGGCCTCCCTCCCTCTCGCTCTCCTCCCCTTGTCTGGACGCAGTCACCTCGCAGCTCAGAGATCCCCCCGGGCCCGGGCAGTGCCCTCAGCCCCCCAGCGGCCCCACGTCTGCCGGGCCTAGGGATTTCGGGGAGCGGCAGACAAGCTCAGCCCAGGTATAAAAACAGAGCCAGACTTTTTAAACGAGGGATGAGGAGGGCACACGTGCTGAATTCCCACGGGGGGACCATGGGTGGGCGTCCTAAGCGTGACGCACAAGGGGGCCCGAGGGCTGCGTGGGGAGCACCACCGTGGAAGCCGGTTGCTGACCTCCACACTCGGGGGGATGGCACGGTGTGGCCCCCGCCAGCACAGCAGCCCAGCAGTGCAGGCCTCGGAAGGAGGCTCGGGTCCTGCCGGCCACCCTCACCTGTGATGGCTCTTCGGATTTCCCGGGCTGCCTCCTCCCGCATCTCGATGGACGCCTGCTCGCTGTACCAGGCCGCGTGGGGGGTGCAGATCAGGTTGGGTGCATCCTTCAGGGGGCCCTGGCTGAAGCTGCAGAAGGCACGAAGCAGGTCAGGGTAGGGTGGAGGGTGCCTAGCCCTGCCTGGAACCACACTTTAGCCGGTGTCAGACCAGGGGACCCTAGCGGGGTCAAATCTGCCACAGACTCCCGACAGCAGCAGGGAGGAGTCCCAGCTAGAGGTACACGCCCCAGCCCGCCCTGCAGGTGAGGGCGTGAGGCCCCGCAGCAACAGGCTCCCAGACAACAGGGCTGACGCACGGTCAGGGGCCAGCTACTGCCCCAGACGGGCTTCTCAGGCGTGGGGTCTCTACAGACAGCCCACACGGGGGTCAGTGGCCTCCTTCACCTGGGTGCGCCCAGGCACTCCGCATGAAGCGCAGGTCTGAGCCCCCCCCATCCCCGCCCACGGAGACCTAGCTGGGCCCTGGGGGCAGGCCCGCCTGCAGCAGGACCTCAGGCTGCACACGCAGCCCAAGGATGGAGCCTGGAGACTGCCAGTGGGCATCAGCCCCGGCCCCATGCCGGACCGGGGTCAATGTGGGGCACGAGCTGGGGCGAGGGCCCAGTGTGAGAGAGTTGGCATCCAGGAATCACCCAGGGCGCTGCCAGGAGGCACCTGAAGGGCTCGGACTCGTGCACGTCCAGGGCGGCGCCCCGAATCCGCCCCTCCTTCAGAGCCTGGGCCAGGGCCTTCTCGTCCACCAGGCCGCCCCGCGCCGTGTTCACCAGGAAGGCGCCTTGTCGCATCTGGGAGGACACAGAAACAGCGCCAAGAGTGAATCAACACAGGGCCCTCTTCGCTTGCCCCCCACCCCCAGGGGACGGGCCCAGCAGGGACGTGGAGCAGACAGGGGCCGGCAGGGGGACGAGGGCTCGGGGGTCTGTGCGGACCCTGCTTCACCCTGAGGACCTCTGGCTGGAGCAAACGCACCGACTCACAGCCGACCTCCTCCCGCTCCCGGTGGTGAGGTGCGGGCTGGGTCGTGGGGTCTCCTGGCCCAGCCCCCAGGATGCTTGGGGTGCCTGGAAAGGATCTGGCGTGTCTAGGACACGGCCTGGCCCAGGAGTGATGGGCACAGGCCCGAGATGGGGTCTTCAGTGCAGTGGCCCGGCCAGAGAGCCCGGCATCCGAAGCTGGGTGGCAGCTTCATTTCCTTTGGCTAAAAACCCTTAGAGCTGCCCGGAAGGCACTCCCCTCCAGGCTTCGTGGTAAGGGGGGCTCCCCGTGCGCTGAGGTGACAGGTCCCTTGAGACCAACTAAGCCTGTCCCGCCGCGGGGCTCACGCAGCCCGCTCTCAACTCAGCTCCTCGGTTGGCTCTCCCGTTCACACCTGGTTTTTGGGGATGGAACCCCAGGGCCATGCCTGTGCCCGCCCCATGTCCCAGCCCACACCCACCCACGGCAGACAGAGAGGAGCCCCGGGTGCCTGGCCTCGTCCTTCACGGGAGGCGGACAGCATCAAGCACACGCCAGCCCACAGACGTGTGCGCACCCAGGGCAGCGCCCCATAGCGGCCGTGGGACACTCCCGGCCGCGGTCAGCGCTCATCCTGGCGCAGGCGGACGCGCAGCGAAGCCCAAGACCTCGGGCGCGGTGTGTGCCGTAGCTGTGGGGACGCTGGGGCCCTCCGCACAACTCAGGACACAGGCCCGTCTGCAGTTGGCTCCCTAGCACTTGAGCCCATGGGGCGGGAAGAGGCCCCAGCCCCGGACCCCCAGGCCATGAGCCTGTGCCCACCTGCTTGACGGTGAAGTCGTTGATGAGGTGGTGGTTGTGCTCGTTGAGGCCGCAGTGCAGAGTGACGCAGTCGCTGTGGAAGAGCAGGTCCTGCAGGGTGCTCACCCGCTGCAGGCCCAGCGCCCGCTCGGTGCCATCCGCCAGGTACGGGTCATAGAAGAGCACGTTGAAACCGAAGGCCTTGGCCCGGAGCGCCACCGCCTGCCCCACACGACCTGGCAGGGCGGGACACGGTGTCACCACGGCCACGGATCGAGGGGCCCCCACACGGCCCGCATCCCCGTGTACCCGGGGCTGACACGGAGGGGAGCAAAGCCCCGTCCGCCCCGGGACCCCTGCCCGGCCGTGCGCAGACGGGATTCAGGGAGGAGGGCGGGGGGGGCTGGAGGTGCTCCCCAGGGAGTGCACGGGGTGGGAGCTGCAGCATCTGAGGAGTGGCCCTGCACCCTGGAGGGAGGGTGCAGGGCCGAGGGGCTCACAGCCCTGCACCCCAGGAGGTAAGTGCCGACCTGGACACCGTGGGGCCACGGTGGTACCCCAGGAGGTAAGTCCTGGGCAGCTGGGTGCTGGGGAGGGGTGGCCAAAGTCCCCACATTTCAGGGGGCCCCACCCCTCCTGGAGCCCCAGGGCTTGCTCTGAGCAAGAAAACGCTAACAAAGGAAGCAAGCAGGGGATGGAAACATCCCACGCACCCTGAGGCCGCCATGGGGTCCGTGTGCACCTGCCTGCCGGAGGGCATCGGCCGGGGGAGCAGGGTCACCAAGGCCCCAGGCGACCACTGTGCCCGTGAGTGACCCCAGGTGAGGCCAGAGCAGAGCCATCCTGCCACTTCTACCCAAAATACAAACCCACAGCATTGTGAGGTCGAGTAACTGGTTGTCTCCCAACACTCCGTCACAGAGTGTCCGCGACCTGGTAGACGGTACCTGACGCGTACCCAGACCAGGAGCACTGTGTAAACAGTCGCAAGAGGGCGCCCGGGTGCACCCGACTGGGCGTCGGACTCTTGATTGTGGCTCAGGGCATGATCTCAGGGTGGTGAGATCAAGCCCCACATCGGGCTGCACGCCCAGAGTCTGTCTGAGATTCTCTCTCTCCCTCTGCCCCTCCCCTGCTTGTGCACTCTCTAAATAAACAGAATCTTTAAAACAAACAAACAAGCAAACAAACAGTGCCTGGAGGGGCCGGGCTGAGGGGCTGCTCTGGTCGCCTCTGCCATGTCACCTGGCTCTGGTTAAGACGCAGACTCAGCCCACACGGCCCCACCAGGACAGAGTTGCATTTGAACCGGGCCTGTTGAGTCTCTCGACAACACTGCTTCAGGAGGTCAGGTGGCCCCCAAATCCCCCAGCCAGGCAAACCCAGCTGCCCACTCCCCACCCGTCCTCCTCCCCACCCAGGCCCCGAGGTGCAGGGCGCCCATGGGGGCCAGCGCTGGCGTCCGTGTGCCCATCTGCAGCAAGACCGTGAGCTGTACTGGACGAGAGGCCTGCGTCCCATGGACGCCCCGACGTCTTACACTAAAGGCAGGCGGGTCCTGTCAGGTCTCTCCCACGCTGCACAGAGCGCACCGCTGGGTAGCCAGTGGGGCAGGGGCGGGCACGGGGGCCTACCCAGAGCAAGTTCGGGAAGCAGCAGGACGAGGGGGCCGGCAGTGAGCTACGGCCCCGTCTGTCCCGGGCCTCCCAGGTGGAGGGAGCCGAGTTCAGACACAGAGATGGGCCACAAACAAGGCAGAGAAGAGGGATGTCACCGACCCAGGACAGCGGCCCACACAGCGGGTCAACCAGCTCCCTCCCCCCAGAGCAGGGCTAAGAGCCACTGGGCCCTCACCAGAAGGCCATGTCTACTCAGCCATGGGGTGGGGGCGCGGGGGGCAGGGTGAGCATGCGTCAACGTGCCGGTGGCGTGCACGAGCATGCACGGCTGTACGCAGAGGCACGGGACCCATGGCACGTGTCTCACGTCTGCCCGTGTGTGACCCGCACCCAGTGTTCCTGGGGCAGAAGGAGTCAGCCCCAGGCGGGCCCTGGCTCGAGGCCTGCGGAGCCCGCAGAGAGGGAGCACGGAGCTTAACTCACCCAGTCCTATGATGCCCAAGGTCTCCCCGCGGATCCTGGCGGCTCCGGAAGCCACCTCCCGGATCTGCTCGACGCTCTGGACCCGCGTGCCCTCCCGCAGCGCCTGGTGCAGCCACGTGGTCCTGCGATACAGGTTGAGGATGTGGCACATGGTGGAGTCGGCGGTCTCCTCGACAGACGCCGCCGGCACGTTGCAGACAGCGATGCCTGGGAAACACAAGACACACGGAGCTGGTCACCAAAGCCAGTCCTGGTGCTCCCCCACGGCGGACCAGACCCTGACACGACGCAGGTGACCCACGCCAGCCGTGGGGAGAGACCGCCTGTAGGTCCAGCAAGTAGACAGGACGGAGCGGAGACCGCCTGTTGAGTCTCAGACGCTCAGAGTCTGTCTGAGATTCTCTCTGTCCCTCTGCCCCTCTGCCCCTCTGCAAATGCCAGCACCTGGGTCTGCCCTGCCTGGACCTCGGGCCACCTGACCTTCCAGGAAGGGGTCACAGGCAGGCCAGCATCCGGAGCCACTCACAGCCACTCACACCCGCACAGGCCCCACCCCTCCTGCCTTCCTTGGCTCCCAAGCCAACTGAGACCTGGCTTTGGACAGAGAGGCCCCCTGCCCTCCCAGTTCCCACGGCCCCAACAGCCCCTTAGCAGCCGCGGAGAGTAAGCTGGTTCGGGCTTCTCCTCTACGCTGAGCTTTGGTGGCCAGTCCCGTGCATGCATGGGCCGGGTACCACTGGGCCTCATGGCCCAGAGGTGGACCCAGCCCCTCCGCATCTCTACATGTCTCTCCCGAGCCTGACCCCTTCCACCCTCGTTCTGCCCTGCCCTGCTATCTTCTCGCTCTGCCTGCAGACTGGTCACCTCCCCGCTGAGGGGAGGCACCTGCTGGCCATACGGGGCTCTGATGCTCCTGGAGCTACTCCAAATGCCAGGACGATGCCCCACACGTCCACAGGGCTCTAGGAGAGGGCCCAGGGTGGATCTTGTTCTTCCTTCCAGAAAAAACTCAGCCCGCCAGGAAATGCGAGAGCAGGCGGGAAGCAGGAGGACCGGGCTACACCGTCCCCTAAATCTGGGGACAAAACTGCTGGCGGAGAGGGCAAACCAGGTCCTGGGGCTTCTGAGTCCCCACCTGAGCCCCCGCCTGTCCCCACAGGACATGGCCCTGACTGTCCCTGGAGGAGGAACAGAGCCCCAGCCTGTGACATCACAAAACAGGGCACACTCGTGCACCGGGACAAAGGCCCCCAGGGACCCCCAGGGCAGAAAGCACACAGGCCACGGTCCCCCACTGCTGCCTTCCTGGGGATGCCGCCTAGGGACGGGTGACAGTAGGGCCAGAGGGCTCTGCCACGTGAGCTGGTGGTGGGCAGGAGGGTCCACACAGAAGCAGAGTAAACTGAGTCTGCGGGAGACACAAATGCCGGGCTGTCCCGGGTCCTGTTCCTTCAGCTGCAACCTGGGCAAAAGGACGGGCCAGACCAGGCACCGGGGGCAGAACCTGAAGCTGTGGGCCTCATGGGGCACACGCTCGCCTCACCAGGCCGCAGCTGGTGCAGACACACAGGCCGTGGAGATCAGAATGCACCTGCCCCCTGCAAGGCTCTCTGAGGGAGCCGCGTTGACCAGGGAACTGGCGTGGGGCCCCGCACCCCGAAAGCCGGCTCACAAGTCACTTCCAACCAAACAAGGAGGTGCAAGAGAATTCTCGGTGTAAAAGCAAAACCAGCCTACGAGGCCGAGGAAAGAAGACACAGAGTTGCAGAGCGAAGAACTGCGAGCACCCTACCTAAGTCCCCGGCCGACTTGATGTCGATGTTGTCAAAACCACTGCCGATCCTGACGATGATGCGCAGAGCTTTGAACTTCTCCAGGTCCTCCCTAGTCAGCGTGATGGTGTGATACATCAGCGCCCCCACCGCCTCGTTCAGCACCTGCCGGGAGCGAGGGTGGCCACTCCGTCAGAGGCCGGCCGCCTGCCACCCCAAACCAGCCCAGACACCCCAACCCCGGGGCGGGGGGAGGGCTGCTAATGCTCCCCCTCCAGCCTGGCCGCAGGCTGGGACGGTCCCGAGAGGCCCGCAGTTCCCTCGGGTCTCCGTCCCCGTGTGCACCGCACTGCGGCCTCCCCTGGGCAGGAGCCCCTTCTGTGACATCGGGGGTGACTGCGGGTGACCCTGCTGGCTCTGGGCTCCGACTCCCCAGCAGCCTAGGGGTCCCGCCCCCCGAGAGAACGCACTGTGTATGTGTGTGTGTGCGGGGGCTGGGCTCACCTTCCGTGTGGGCACCAGACAGTAAAACAGGATGCTGAGGAGGACGCGGAGCATCCGAAACCCCCAGACCCCGCAAGGGCCACACTGACACACTGCTACGGGGGAAGAGCGACAAATAGTCCCGGCACAAACGCACACGGGGCCCCGTGACGGCGACTCGCCGCCTGGAAAGGGCCGGCCTCCGGGTCACTGGCCCCTGCGCACTGCCCACTGCGCCCTCCCCACGTGCTCCCCTGCGGCTCCCACATGCAGGCGTGGTCTCCACGACAGCCCTGGACACCTGCCCTGACGGTGTCCACGTGTCTCTGTGTGGCCTCGCGTGAAGCCCCATGAGCAGGTCGGTGTCGTCTCCCCAGGCTTTAGATGACATGTGCTGAGCTGCTACTCGTTTGCAAAACCGCCCAATGGGAAGGACCCGCCCCGAAGTTGGGGCTCCACCCGCGACAGGGCCCCGCCCCACAAGACCCCCAGCTGTAGCTCTCCACGGGTGGGGACAAGCCCTGAAGAGGAAGGCACAGGCGGAGCCCACGCAGACCACGCTCACGCCCCACGCCGGGCCAGGAGCGTGCAGACCACGACCCCCGCCTAGCCAGGCAGGTGCAGATCACTCCCATGCCCCACGCAGGACCAGACGCATACACACCATGCTCACGCCCCACGGAGAGCCAGGTGTGTGCAGACCACGACCCACGCAGGGCCAGGCGGATGCAGACCACACCCCACGCAGGGCCGGGCGCGTGCAGATCACGCCCATGCCCCACGCAGGGCGAGACCACACCCCACGCCCCACGTAGGGCCAGGCGCGTGCAGACCACGCCCCACGCTGGGCCAGGCTCGTGCAGGCTACGCCCCACACCCCACGCCGGGCCGGGCAGGCGCAGAGCACGCCCCACGCAGGGCCAGGCGTGTGCAGACCACGCCCCACGGAGGGTCAGGTCCGTGCAGACCACGCCCCACGCTGGGCCAGGCATTGCTCCCAGCGTGCACAGCACCCCCGCCTTAGCGTCTCCCAAACAGACGAGGCCCCCAGGTATGCCCCACAGCCAGGCTGGGGTCGGGGGGGAGAAACACCTGGCTCTGCAAGGGGGTGCGCCTGGCTCCTGGAGGGCTTGTCTCAGGTCCAGGAGGGCGGCAGGCCCGTGCCCCAGGGCCACGAGCGCTCCCTAAAGGGCTGTCGTGATCCGCAGAGGACACGCTCTGACAACAGCCAGACATTGGCCCAGGGCCTGCAGTGTCCAATTTCCCGCCCAAGGGCAGGGGGCCCAGGATGTAATCCATGACCTGTCATAGTTCAGGGACGGGCTTTATTCTTCCCTAGCAGGATACAACAGTGGGCCTTGCAATCAAGGGCACATCACATTCGGTGAAATGCTCTGGCCACCGCGTCTGCGCCCCCCCCTACCCCCCACTGAGCCTCCTGCGCTGGGTCTCACGGATGGCGAGGGAGGCTGCTTATGGGCTGTGCGCAGGTTGCTGGCCCATAGGCACCATGTGTGAGCTGACACACTGACTGTGCCCCCACCAGCCTGGACGTTGGGCTGATGCAGTGAGTGGCCTCGAGCAGGTGTCTCGTGTGGGGTGCAGGGCCTACAGTGAGGCTGCTCACTGCCCTCTCATCCCGTTCTCTACAAGAGCTGAGCCTCTGACAGATGGCAACCCAAAATACAGACAGTTGGCTCTGAGGCTGGCGTGACTTCCCTTCCCCTTCCGATGGCCAACCTGGCCGGGAGCACATGCCCTTCAGGGACCACACAGAATAGGCCGAGGGAGAGACGGATGAATAGCAGGGCAGAGGGCATCTGGGTCCCTGGTCCTGGAAGCAGTGGCGGGCCTGGACGTTAAGCGAATGGCCAGGTGCTATTGGCCCCTACTCTGGTTCCTCCACTGAAGATCCCAGGAACCTCGGCTTCTGTTCCCGCACTAAAGATCCCAGGAACCTCGGCTCCTGTTCCCCCACTGAAGATCCCAGGAACCTCGGCTCCTGTTCCTGCACTTCTCACGGAAGATCCCAGGAACCTCGGCTCCTGATCCTGCACTTCTCATTGAAGATCCCAGGAACCTCGGCTCCTGATCCCACACTGAAGACCCCAGGAACCTCGGCTCCTGATCCCACACTGAAGA